ACAGTGCACCGCTTGGGAGCATGGCGGTGCTCCCGCCGAGGGTTTGGATCCCACGTGCAGACCGGTTCCCGCTCACTAGCCGCGCGAGGCCCGGGAGCAACACCGAGGCTTGCAATCCCGTTGCCGGTCCCCGGTCCGGTACGGGGGCAACACTGAGGGTTGCGATCCGTTGCCGGACACGGAAAAAAGACAAAAGACAAAAAAAATATATATATAATTTAAGGGGCCGGCCCGGTGGCGCACTGCAGAGTGCGCCGCTTGGGAGCATGGCGGTGCTCCCGCCGAGGGTTCGGATCCCACGTGGAGACCGGTTCCCGCTCACTGGCTGAGCGAGGTGCGGGTGCAACACCGAGGATTACGATCCCGTTGCCGGTCAGTAAAAAAGACAAAAAGGAAAAAATATATATATATATAATTTAAGAACATAGCCTAGATCAAATTACTTGCAGAGAAGAGTTTTTTCCTCAATGACAAAAGCTGAACAGATAATATTCTAAGCCAGACAATGAGAAATGTAGGAAAGTTTTGGGCCTTACAGAGAAAAAGACCCATGAAAAGGGCTGGAAGCTCTAACTGGCCACTGAATCCAGTTAACACAGTTCCATACAAGCTGATAAAAACATCATGGTATATGCAGGAAGCTACACAAGTAGTCCCTGCCAACCCAGGAAAAGGGAGAATTCAGGACATAAATTATCCTGAATTCCAGAGAAAAGCTTTAATAATACTTTAATCAAGCTGAACAAGATAAAATCCTTTAGTAAATAAACATCAGGCTCTGAGCACATTCGGGTTCAGGACACATGGTTCATTAGCGGGGTTGGACTAGACACCAGGATTCTCTACATCAGGCCGGGCTGTAGGAGCAAGGGGCCCTGACCAGCAAACATGTAAAAGGCATTGAGACCCAGGTTTCTGTAACTTATGCTGTTCTTGAGTTTCCTAGTGCTTTAGGGAACTAATATTTATTACAGAAAAGTAGAACAGGATCTCCCCACCTCTCAACAGTACTAATACAGAAACATCATATTCCTGCCAAAAATGGAAAAAATAGGTTTATGAATCATATTATATTTGTATTATCTCTAATTCTGGCATATACAGTTTATTCCTTACTAGATATAATGGGCAAAGAAATATCAAAATATTCATTTAAAAACATATTCATTAATAAGAGTGATAGCCTCTAGGAAGAGTCTATGGCTTTTTGGGGCATTGGGGGTAGCTGAGGGCAGGGCTAGGTAGGGCGAAAGGGTAAGAGGGAGATTTATTATTCACTTTATCCTTTTGTGTCAATTTGACTTTGTGTAATGTGCATGTATTACCTATTCAAAGATGTATGTGCATTCTGAGTAAAGCAAAACCGAGAAAAAGTTTTACATTTTAATGATCCTTGATTAGTGACAAACAAAAGGTACTGAATAATCAAGGCCGGCCAGTTATCTCAGTTGGTTAGAGCGGGGTGTTACAACACTAAGGTCTAGGGTTCAGATCTCTGTACCTGCCAGCCACCAAAAAAAAAAAAAAAAAAGAAAAAAGAAAAAGGTACCAAATAATCAAAAATCAATCATTCCTGGAAAAATTAACATTTCAGACCAATTTTTTAAAAAAAATTATGAGTGGACATGAACAGGTTCAGAATAAGATAAAACCTAAATTGTTGGACTTGAATAATTGATGTATACTTTTTAGCCAGCATTCCATTAAATATTAATGATGGGGCTGGCTGGTTAGCTCAGTCAGAGCGCAGTGTTGATAACACCAAGATCAAGGGTTCGGGTCCCCATACCAGCCAGCTGCCAAAAACAAAACAAAACAAACAAAATGATAATGAGATGCAAATAAAAATAGCTCCTACTTATTGAGAGCTTACTAGCTGCCAGGTGCCATCCTAAATCTGGTTATAACATTTCTAAATGCTGCTATGATGTTGTTAGTCTAATAAGTATTTATAAAAAACACTAAACATTCTAGATGGAAAAAATGATAAAAATTAAACACTGAGAAAAATTGGAAAGCTGATCAAATATGGATGCACATCTATTTACAATTATTTTTCCCTCATACCATGTTTTTTAAAATTTTTTATTTTTGGTGGCTCGCAGGGACGGGGACCCAAACACTTGACCTTGGCGTTACAAGGTTGCTTACTAACCAACTGAGCCAACCGGCCAGCCATTTTTCCCTCATACTATGAAAAGCCAAGACTTCCACACAAGTGACACAGGGCCACTATGAGATTCAACAACTAACTCTGGACAATGGATATATCTAACTTCTTGAAACTTACCAATGGTGTGTCTTTTCCTCCAACAATGCTGAGACCAAGCCCTGAACGTCCCTTGGATATTTCTATGATCATTTCCTGGCCAGGGACAATGGGACACGTTGCAGGGTCCACTGACAGAGGAGCCTGGAAGCCACCTGAAAAAGGATCGAACACAGAATGACTGGCAAGTAGTAGATGCAGCTCAGCTTGCACACTCCATTACTTGGGAAGTGTGGGGTTTGTATGTGTTGATCATTTCACTCTTTTCCTGCCAAGCACCATGAAGAAGAAAGCTGGGTCATTACTGTCCATTCACCAAGGGATGAAACATGACATTCCCATGACACTTGTGAGATTAAAATGATAACTGCCCCTGCCCCTCAACCCATCAATTTTTAGTTTTATTTGAAATTGAAATTTTTTAAACTTAAAATGCATCATGAAAACCAGTATAGAAAAATTTAAGATGATTAAATGATTAGGTAAACTCATTGTATTCATTATAATTCATGTTATATTCTCATTATAACATAAAGGGAAGTCTTATAATGAGAATAAAGTCTGGTATGACAGAAGATTCTCAGTTACAGGAAACTAATTAACAAATAGTGCTTAAATACTTTAAATTAGAGCATATCATATGAATTAAGATATTTAAAGGATTTAATCAATAAACTATTATATAACTGAAAATAACAATTACCTAAAATTTATCCCCAAATATATTATATACATAGTAAAAACAAAAAGAGTATTATAAATGCAAGACTCAGGAATTACCTGCTGGGTCCATGAGTGAAAAGCTTGTTAAAAGAATTACTGTTTTACAACGTTTTTTTTTTTTTTAATCTTTGTTTTAGACAGGGTATTATAAATGCAAGACTCAGGAATTACCTGCTGGGTCCATGAGTGAAAAGCTTGTTAAAACAATTACTGTTTTACAAAGTTTTTTTTTTTTTTAAATCTTTGTTTTAGACAGATTTTTCCCAAAAACTGAGAGGAAAAATGGTTATAGACTAAGAAAAAATGTTTAATTACACCCTTTTATTCAGCATAAATTCTACACATGTATGTGCATTTTCCAAATAACTAAACCTAGCCCATTAAAAAATCAAAACATTCAAAATGTTAGATAGTTTCAAGAGACTGTTATGGAAATGAGTCTCCAGCAAATATCATCTTTTCTGATAACCAAATTCCATCATCATGACTATTCTCTCTTACACTGTGATATAATTCAGTAAATGGCTGGTACTAGAGGACCCCATCTGCTGGTCAGCTGTAGCTAATGAACAGAAACCCAGATGAGACCCACATGCTTATTTATTTACTTTATTTAAAAAGTTTAAACATTTACTTGTACATATTTGTGGGGTACAGTGTGTTGTTTCAATACATGCGTATACTGCACGATTCACATTGGATACATAGCATTGTTCTGTACTCATTGTTTTGTACACGTTTGCTTTTCCCTCCCTCCTCCCCTCCCAGCCTCTGGTAACCATTATTCTACTCTCTATTTCTATGAGAACCACTTTTTTTTTTTTTTTTTTAAGATTCCACATATGAGTGGAATCTGTCTTTCTGTGCCTGATTTACTTCACTTAACATGATGGTTTCCAGTTTCATCCACGTTGCTGCAAATGATAGATATCATTTCTTTTTATAGCTGAATAGTAGTCCATTGTGTATACATACTAGTTTTTTTCATCCATTCTCCTGGTAATGGGCATTTAGGCTGATTCCATCTCTTGGCTATTGTGAATAGCATTGTGATGAACATGGTAGTGCAGGTGCCTTTTTGATATATCGACTTCACTTCTTTTGGGTATATACCCACCCAGTAGTGGCATAGCTGGATCATAAGGTAGATCTATTAGTTCTCTGAGGAGTCTCCATACTGTTTTCCACAATGGCTGTACCAATTTACATTTCCACCAACAATGCATGAGAGTTCCCTTTTCTCTGCAACCTCACCAGAATTTGTTATTTTCTATCTTGTTGATAATAGTCATTCTAA